TTATATTCTTATTTGACAATAAGAAGAGAAAACTTTTTAAATCCGGTTTTTAAATGATAACCTGTCTTTTATGAGCGCTAATAACTAAGTTTTCACCTTTTTCTCTGTGTGTGGGAAAGTCTAAAACTGAAACTGAGAAGCAGCGTATGGCAGTTTGCAGCCTCCAATACATCCAGGCGGTTCGGAAAGCCGTAAAACTCTAAAACAAAAATTTATCTTAATCCCCACAGTTTCAACGATCGCTTTTCATTCACTTTTGACATTGTAAGCTTTTTGATTGGTTTCTGCCTCAGCGTATAGGATGTGCGCGAGCGTATAAGAGGTGTAAGACTTGCTGTACGCCTAGCCGAGAGTAACTATAGGTTCCTGAGTTATAAAACATAGAAGAAAACAAATTGTCAATCGAGTGTTAATAGTTTTTCTGATATCCATCCCTTTATCTTCGATCTCGATTTATGAATGAGTTTGTTCACATCATTATTCGAGTGCAACTTTTACTGTGATCAGAGGATAATCGTTGATGACAAACGAGAATCGCTGCAAGGAGTCAAATCACCTGCTTTATACTCGAAAGCTTGCTTGATGGGATAAGAAATTGAATCTAGCTATGCTTGATTACCTAACTTTTGTTTGTTATTATCCAGGACAACTTCCATGAATTGCAAATGAAAGGATAAGAGAAATTTAAGAGTGAAAAATAAATTGCATAAGATGATCATTTTGTTAATGGTATATCTTGTTTCGTCTCCAATTCCAGTCCGAGACGAAACTGAGAAAAATTAGCTGTAACTTTTTTCTTTTTTAATTATAATGTTTAACTGAATTATTTTAAAATAAAGGGGTACATTTCTTAAGCAATTGTGGTGCTGCGACGTTGGGGGAGAATAACAACTAAGAGTGCCGATTTGAAAGATAAATTTTTGTTCTAGAGCTTCGCAGCCGCTGTTTGGAAAACAGCTTTCCGAAGAGGTAATCCCCACCGAGTCAAAGAACGCTTTGCATTCAACTAATTGATTCTAACTAATTTGTTCTAAAGAAACAAGGCAGCCCGGTTTACAAGATCCCATGTGAATGCAGCAAAGTGTATATCGGTGAAACAGGGAGATCGATGCGAGAAAGGATACAAGAACATGACAGAGACATACGGTTTGCTCGTACTCAAACCTCTGCGGTTTCGGAGCGCCCTAAAGAAACGGGGCATATTTCTATTTGGAGTAAGGTTAAGTTTATTGATCGTGACCCCCACTGGTACACGCGTAGGGTCAAAGAGACTATCCATATAAGGCTTCACCCCAGCAACATCAATAAAGATAGTTGTATCAAAAAAGGTCCTCTGACATGTGCGGTTAAAAAACGCCGCTGACATGTGCGCGGGCACTAAACTACACAGGAAGCCCAGTAATTAAAGATTAAATCGTCACAGTGTCACTATACTTAGGATGTCATTAATGTTTAGATTCCTCGACTTTTGGTTTTTCTTGGGCAATATAAGAATAATATTATCAAAATAGTTTGTGACGCGACTTAATGATTAATATAATTAAGCTCCTTATTTCTTCCTTTTTAATAATTTATCAGACAAGCAATATCCAATAACAACCAGCTTTGATACGACTAATAAGAACTTAACGGAAGATCTTATTAACTCCATAAACAGCAAAGTGCTTGTCTGATTGTCAGCTTCACAGCTTGTCTCACTTCACTAATCTTCCAGCAGTATAGAAACGGGTTTAACGTCGCGTTGAAATAAACCAGGGCGTTAACTATTCCCAGGGCGACGACTAAATGAGATAAATTTGCTTGTCTGTGAGCCAACACAATTCCCACCCCACTAAGTGGTACATAACAAGCAAGTAACACTAACTATACTCACAGTGGAGTATACACTGCCTTTTTGTATCGCACCATGTTCAGTGCCTTTGGTTGGGCCGGCTGTTGCTGAACATGATCTTGTACATGAGTCTGATGATAACGCTCTATGTCTTTCTCTTTATTTTCTTGTTTTTTTCTTGGTACACGGTAAATGTTGTTGCAGGAAATATATAAAAATTTTTTTCTTAAGGTATCTTCAGTGCCTCGATTCCTTGCCCTTAAGTTATTTACGTAAATCATAAAATACCAACAAACGCTCGAGCGACGATCTTTTCAAGCTTCATATCTATTACTATCTAGGGACGTATTCGAGAAGCATTTACTTGGAGCAGCCATAACTCTATAAGTTTGTTTTGGATTGAAATGTACGAGCACAGCTCAAAGAGAATCTAAATCCATGGACAACACATCACTTGTCTGATTATCTGCTTTACAGCTCGTCTCACTTCATGGATCTTCCAGCAGTAAAGGAAAGGGTTCAAAGTGGAATTTAAGTAAGCAAAAGTAATTGCTATTTCTCTAATAACCATTAAAAGTGGTGAGTATGTCTTAGTATGAGTTATTAACAGCAAAACTATACTCAATGGTACATAACAGACAACTAATGCTAACTGCACCCACAGTGCACTGTACATTGTCTTTTTGCATCGTGCCATGTTCAGTGCGTTTGGTTGGCTCGACTGTTGTTGAACATGATCTTGTATTTGAGCCTGCTGACGACTGAGAGTGCGGAAAATCTTAATATACGAAGCGACTGAGATTACTAAGCAAGACGGTATGATGATAGGACCCAACCAAGGGCGTATATGGGGAACAAACAGAAAGAATAGGGTGTCGATACAGGGGACAACCCAAAAAAAGGCTAGAGCCATATAAATGCGCTTTAAATTCACAATTTGTTTGTATCTCAGCCCTAACAACCAGGCAAGAAGTCTGTCCACGCTTATGGCCGTCGTCGTCATTAAAGACACTGAATGTAATACATAAGACGTTGCGAGGCTTGCATCAAGTACGAATCGACAAATACTCCAGTGTTCATGAACCACGG